ACCCCACAGCAGGCAGGCCCCAAAGAAAATCACACACAAAACTCCATAAGATTATAAACTGATTGGCTCATTAGGTCAGGCTTCTTGTTAACTCTTATAACTTATATTAACCCATTATTCTCATCTATGTTAGCCATAATGGCTCCGTACCTTTTTTAGCTGGGCAGGTTACATGCTGTCTCTTCGGTGGTCTGCACAGGAGTGGCAAGGGAGGTTCTGCTTCCAGAATACTCCCAGTCTCTTTGCTCCACCCCTACTTCCTGTCTGGCTTTCCTGCCTATACTGCCTGCCTGGCCAATCAGCGTTTTATTAAAATATGATTGACAGAATACAGATAATTCTTCCACACCACTTACCTAGCCTGCCTGACGTCCTGGATTGGCTATCTAGCACCACAAACCAGGATAAGCTTTCTGTGGTTTGTGCCGCTACCTCAAGTCATGTCAAGTCAATGCCTGAGGGCAGTGCTGCCCCACGCGAGCTTGTTGAGGTTAGCAGCCCCGGCCTATGCTGCCACCTGAGCCCATGATAGGGCTCTGCGGTCCTGCCGCAGCCAGAGTCGTGTTAATGTCCATGTGGATGTCGATGGCCTGTGCTGCCGCCTGAAGTCATGTAAATAAATGGCCATGGGCTGGGCTGCTGCTTGGGATGCTTGGGACCATATTGGTGTCCATGTCCCATGCTGCAGCAGACAGAGGTCTGTGATGATGTGCATGGTCTGCACACCAGAGACCACACTGGGCTCCTTGGCACGAAGCCAGAAACCACGCAGAAGTCCATGATCTCTCCTCCTGCTGACTGTAACGGGCAAGGAAGCCACTTTTACAGTGATATATATGGGTGCAGACTCACAGTTGAGAAAGAGGGGCATAAAAGGCTTCTGTGATGGTCCCCATCCCCAAAAGTAACAGCTTAGACAGAAAGTCTTCAAAGAAAACACTTAAAAATTGTGGTAAGGATGCTGAAGTATAGCTCTCCATAACTGATGGCTTCTGGTGGGGGTGAGGGTGGGGAAGGACTCCATTTTCTTTAAGGGGCTGGCCACTGAAAGTTTGACCAATGAGCATATGGACAATAAAATTTGGACATGTTTTCTTCCTCCTCCTCCTCCTCCTCCTCCTCCTCCTCTTCCTCTTCGTCTTCTTCTTCTTCTTCTTCTTCTTCTTCTTCTTCTTCTTTTGCTTCTGCATCTGCTTCTGCTTCTTTCTCTTTCTCTTCTGAGAACTAGGAAGTGAGTGTGATTGTGGGGCATGCTGTGAAATTCCCAAATAATCAGTAATTAAAAAATTTTGTGTTGAGACAAAATGAACAACAAGAGAAGCAAAGCAACATTAACAAAAAAAATAGAATTTTCATCCTTAAGAAAACAAACTCTTATGGCCAGTTTAAATCCCCTCCCTGAACCTCCCTCATACCCACCCACCATCTTGCCTCCCCCCTCTCCCTCACACCCGCTCTCTCCTTGACTCCCTTTTCCCTCTCTTCCCCTTTTATTCATGCCCCCATTCTTCTTTCCTTCATTCTTTTATTTGGGAAAAAATGTAATGTACAAACAGGTACAAAACAAAAACAAAACAAAACAAAAACTGATAGCCTTCTGAATTTCTAGTATCCAAAACAAGCTCCTGCCCCACTTGGCCAGATTTGCTTTCAGAGGTTTGTTCGTCTCTTTTCCTTTTGCTTTTCAAAAAGCTGATTGATGCAACAAGGATTCCGTATCATTCCTTCCTCTTCCTCACTCTCTGCCCTCCAGTGCATTCACTTCCTGCAGAAACCCCTGTGCTGTGAATGTGGGGTGTGTCCCTGAACAGTGCGTTCTTTGTGTTTTCACACACGCATGTGCATAGCCACATGCTACTTGTCACTGTGTCTGTGTGTTTCCAGTAGTTTCTGTTGCCTAATGATTATCTGTTAAGAGACGCATGTGTACTGATGTATGTGTATAGAACCAGCTGATTCCCTTTAGGGGCTGTGCGTTGTTCCACGGTACAAGGGAAGTGAAGCTTTCCTTACTCATTCCGTTTTCAGGTGAACGTTTAAGTCATTGTGAGACTTGTTATGCTAAAAAACAAACAAAACAAAACAAAACAAAACAAAAAACATGTGAAGATGCTCTTCTTAGCGTGCGCCTCTCTGTATGCAGTCTCCTTGAGCCCCTCTGCCAGGTAGAATCAGCATGCATAGAATATGTCCTGCTGCTTTTGATAAATACAATAAAAGCCCTGACTAGAATAATGTCCTGATTCGGGATTCTGCCGGGAGTAATTGGAATATTACATTATTTGCCTCACATCTTGGACAACATTGAATTTTGCCAGGCCTTTTCATGTTAACTATTAGGATGGAAGGAAAATGAAATCTTATTATTTTAATTTCCTTTTTCTTCCTAGCCAGTGCCTGGACTCCTTACATTCATGATCCGTTATAGTTTCTTCTTTGAATAACCCCCATTCCTCTGTTGTTCTGTGTTCTGTTTTTTTTTCCCCCTTTAAAAGGTTTCTTATATGTTCTGATTTCCTGTTCCCTGTCTGCCAAATGTGTCCCTAAAGGCATGGCTGACTCTCAGGGAGGTCACTCTTCAGATGGTTAGATTGTCCTGCTATCTGGTTTGGTCCTCTGTATCACTAAGAAGCCAGGCATATACTCCGCTTCCAGTGTGTCAGTCATTTGGATCTGCTGTCTGAATATCCAGCATAGAGCGGTCCGGTCCCCACTATCTCCACAGGGACTGGCTGCAGTTTTCTTCATGTTTCCCAGGGAGCCATCTTAGTGATCTTATCTCCAGTTTATTCTCACCAAAGAGCCAGAGAGACCTGGCTACAATGCAGGTCAGTGCTTGGTCCACCTCCACTCAGAACCCTACAGTGGCTTTTGTACCTTGCAGCATATAAAAGCCTGAGTGACAAGGGGGGGGGGGGGCGTCCAGACCCCAGCTGCTGGTCCCTGCTTCCTCGTCCCAGCCCTCTTGCCTCAGGGCAGCCACTCCTAGAGGCTTCCCTCCCAGTACATCAACATTCTCCCCTCTGCCTGGAAAGGTCTTCCTTCAAAGCTGTCTTTTTGTCTGCTTTCTGCATCTCGTTCAGGTTCTGCCTGAGATGTTCATTCCCAGTGAGATCTTCCTTAATTTCCTTGTTTAAAAATGTAGACACCTCCACAAATTCACTGCCCGTTTCCTAGGGCGGAACTCGAAACATACTGCGAACTGAGAAACGTGCAACAACGGAAATGCTTTTTGGTCTGGTAGCTCCGTAGACTGTTGCTCTGAAATCTGAGCGTCATCAGGGCCATGCTCCCAGGGGAGCTCTCCCAGAGAATGGGTGGGTGGGGATGCAGGGTTTGGGTTCCACCGCTTGCTGGTCTCTGTCCTCATAAGACATCCTCCTGTTGTGTCACTGTCTTCACAGGGTCTTCTCTTAGATATAAACCTCTCCCACTAGATCTGGTCCATCCTTTTCCAATGTGACATCATCTTAAGCTTTGTTTACACAACCCTATTCTAGTCTCTGGAACTGGAAAGTAAGAATTCAATCTCCTCTCTCACTCTCTCTCTCCCTTCCTCCCTCCCTCCCTTCCTCCTACCTTGGATGGGGAGGCAACATTCTCCAGAGCACTCAATGCCCTATAATCACCCAGACACTTGCTATCCTTACTTTCTTGTCTGGTTTCCCCTATGAGGATCTCGGTGGAATGTGAAGCTATCGTGTTCAGCGCTGTAGAGAGTGCTGCCTTGGAGCTCTGGGGTCTCTGTAAGTGTTTGCTGGTGACAGAGGAATGATTTCAGTCCCAGAATGAGCAGAGCAAGTGACATGATGAGCAGCCAAACAATTAGATCTTCAAAGACGAAATGATGACCCTTGGACACAGTCACAGGGAATGAAGGACTGTCTGTGACTATGGCATTTTTTTTATTTCAAAACAGGGTCTATGAAGGAAAAGTAGAAATAGAGATGACAGCGGAGAGGAGGTGACCAGATGGGGATGTCACTGGGTCATTTGTGAACAGTAGAATCTGTGGACCTCTTAGTCACTTTCGTATAATGAAAAAAAAAATCCTCTAATAAATGTACCCTTCATATATTATTATGCCCATTTGACAGGGAGAGAATGAAAAGATCAATTACGTTGACTAGTTCTGTAGGACCTAAACGTAGCAGCTGTACCAAACGCCCATGTTCTTCTTTATGCTGGCTACTTTATGCTAAGTTGACACAGCTAGAATCATCCAGAGGAGACACCTCCATGAGACCTCTAAGATCTGGCTGCAGGCAAGCCTGTAAGATATTTTCTTGATTAGTGGCTGATGTGGGAGGATCAAGCCTGCTAGGTGGTGTCACCCCAGGGATGGTAGCAGACCAGCAAATTATGAGGAACAAGCCCGTAAGCAGCACTCCTTATAGTCTGTGCATTAATTAATGCCTTTAGGTTCCTGCCCTGCTTCAGCTCAATCCCTGACTTCCCTCGGTATAAGATGAAATAAACCCTTTCTTCCCCAAGCTGATTTTGGTCATGGGTTTTAGCACAGCAATAGAAAGCCTAAGACAGCTCACTTGTAATCCATTGCAGTTGGCCTGGTATTTCAAAGGGGTGGGAGTTAAATGACCCACACGTGACTCTTGAGTGGATCTGACATGGAATTCTGCAAAGCCAGAGCAGTGTTCTACTGGGTCAGGCTCGTTGTTTTGCAAAACAGAAATCCCAGAGTTAGGACTGTCCCATTCTGGAGGAGGCCAGGTGCTGCATCTAGGAAGGCCCTGGGGTGGGAATCAGAATATGGACAGGTGCGGCACCATTCTGACACGAAGCACTGTCGTTCCTCTGAGCCGCGCTCCTGCAGAGAAACAAGAGTTCCAGAAGCTGCACTGTGCTTCTATAGCCCCTTAAACAGTTCCTAATGCAGCCACGCCAGCTCAGTGTTCTTCACAGACTCTTTTCATGACATTGTGTCTCGAAGCTGTCCGATACAGTGCCGAGTGATCATCTGAACTTCTTCTTCCCGTTAGGTGTCCTGGGACAACCCGCTCGGTCACTCCTCTGCAAAAACTCTTCGTCCTGCACCCAGGACCCCAAGGAGGCAGCACGCGTGTGAAAGGTAGTGCTTGCTTAATTTTATTTCTTTCTAAAGAGTGTGACCCATTGCCTTACTGTGTGGATGTCCTTACGGTATTAGTCTCATTCTTTTGCATATAAATAGAACTTCGGAATTGTACGTGGTTAGAGCCAGATCCCCTTAGAGAACCTTCCCTCTTGCTGCTTTTATTTGTAGCCACTGTTTTAAAATAGGAATATAAATATTATGTCAGCGACATAAAGAATGATGACTTCACTTTCTGAGGAACAGCCTTGCCTTCCCTTCCCATGAAGCACAGCCAAACCGGTACCTGATTGACATGTCGTAACTGTTCTTTCCCCACTATATAAGCACACATGTTTAATAATTTTTATGTAGGAAAAGAAAGGTTAAATAGTCACAAAGTCAGGTTTTAATGCCTTGTGTGGCTTTAAGGATGGCGGTAGGATTGAAATGCAATTAGTAGCAGAGAGAGGAGCCCTCTGCCTAGGGACCTGTGACCTTAAAGGGAGGAGGGTTGCTCTTGGTTGGAGGATCCCCGGCTGGTACAGAATAGATAGTGAATGATGAATCCCAATGATGAATCAGGAGACCCAAAGATTAGCTAAAGTCTTCCCTTCCCTGTATGCCTAAGTGTTTTCACCCGGTGGGTCAGATATGCAACTTAAAAGGAGATAGCTGATGGAGGAGAAATGAACTCTCGATGCTCAGAAGACAGGCTTCTGGTCACAGCATTCAGGCATGCTGGGAGTGCTGGCAATGCCTTCGCTCTGACTTTTTCTTGCATGCCTTCCTTTCCCATGGCAGTCCTTAAAACCTTCCAGAAAACCTAAAAAAGCTGCAGTGTAGTTTCCCCCAGAACTGTGTGTAAGATTGGCCATTCAGAGATTCTCTGGCATGCCTTGTCTGCTAGCAGTCATATATCATTCTAGACGGAGTGTATTCCAATCCTAGGTCAACAGAAGGACACAGGAAAGCTGAGAAGTTACTGAATCCCTATGCCTCGCTCAGTTCTTCTCAGACCAGTAGGTCATCATCTTTTTGACCAATCGCATTCCTACATGAATGTCCATTTTGTTTTGTATCTAAGCATAAAACATGGGTTCTCCCTAGTCTTTGGTTTCTATTTCCAAAGTCTCTCGTGTCACATAACACTTTGTATGTCAGATTTTTCCACTTGTTAACTTGTATTTTGTTATAGGGATGTTGTCTGTGATACTTGTTATGTGTGAGAAAAGATCACACACATACACACACATGCACACCCAGATACACACAGATGCACACTGACAGGCATATGCATTGGCTCCACAATTTCAGTCTGGTCATTTCCCCAGCATGTAGTCAATGAGCTACTCTATTTTATTTGATTTTTTAATTAACTAATTAATTAACTTATGTTTTTATAGGCAGGGTTTTTCTATATAATACAAATTGGCCTCAAGCATGCCTGGCCTTCATTTCACTATCTGCCTGAATTCTAGGATCTCAGGCATGTGTACGACTCTTGTCAGGCTGTGCTCAGTTAACCTTGCTTTCATATATGTTCCTGTTCCTCTCTGTCATTCCTCTTCATGCTCCCTCCTTTAACAACATCTTCATGTTTATGTCTTTGCAAACTGTGTGTGTGTGTGTGTGCGCGCGTGTGTGTGTGTGTGTAAATTGACCAACTCCATGAACCAAAAGACAAAGACACCACCCACTTTGACTTGCTTCTGGTTAACCCTGTCTCCTAAATCTACTTTATCTTGTGCACCAATTTGCCCCTGGCTCTGCCTGCCTTCCCATCATTCCTCAAGCCTTTGACATCCATGGCTTTATGTGAAGTTCATCAAATTGGCCAGAACTGCCTGGAGAGTTTGTATTGCTATCGGACATTGCTTTGTCATGTAAAAGCCTTCAATGAATACATGGTAGGGTGTGATGGGGCTCCCACTTTTACTTTCTAATGCATCCAACTTCTTGGTAGATTCCCTGCCTATCTAGAGAGCCTACCTACAAAGCAGAAGAGAAATGTGGTGAAACTGGGAGGTGGTGGTGCATGCCTTTAATCCCAGCACTGGGGAGGCAAAAGCAGGTGGATCTCTGTGAGTTTGGGGCCAGCCTGGTCTACAAGAACTAGTTCCAGGACAGGCTCCAAAGCTACAGAGAAACCCTGTCTCGAAAAAAAAACAAAGCAAAACAGCAGCAGCAACAACAACAACAACAAAGCAAAAGGAAACACAGTGAGCTGTGAACTTTGAGCATAGCCATTTAGCCTTCAGTATTTTTGTTGTTTGGCGTCTTAACCCTTGAAGTAAGTCTCTTAAAAATGAAAGCCTGCAATTTTTTGAAAGAGTAATTAAAAGTGACTGATTTTCAAGTTTAGAGACCTCACTTATTTCTCTGTGCTTAGAAAGACTTCTCTTCTTCTCCCAACAATAAAAGACAGTGCCTAATAATTTCAAATACTTCCCCTCTGTTGTTTCTGCATGATTTTTTTTTTCTGTTTGATGTTTGATCTTCGTCAGCCTGCCTAACCTCTCTGAACTCTGGTTTCTTCCCCGATGAAATGAAACTAATCTTAGGAATTGTTTCTTAGAATGGTTATGAAAGATTAAAAGATAATTTATGTTAAGTGGTTAGGAGGATATCTTCCACGAAGAAGCTTTCAAGACATGGTACTCATAACGACTAATGGTCAAAGCATGGCTGTCACTAATATGCATGAGAGTAGATGTTCACTTAGTATTGAAGAATTTTCAATATTTCCTTTCTCTTAGAATATTACCTCTGATTATGTCTATGTGGTAGATGTAGAGATGTCTAAAGCCACAAAAGTATCACCGAATAACATGGCCAAGTGCCACATGGATACAACTTGGAAATATGGGCGGTGCAGAACTCACTGATTTGAGATTAAATGCTGCCGTGTCTATGTGACATTTTAGTGTGTAAGCTGTGGGTTTAGTCCAGTCTCCTCATATGCTTGGCAAGATGGTCAAAGGAGCCCAGGCCTGACTTCTACTTCTCGATAGGACCAAAACCAGGTTTTTCCAGATGAGATACTGGGTGAAGGTTAAGGAATCATTCGGAAATACAAGAGAAGATTTCCTCAGTGTTTTCTCTACACTCTAGAGTGTTGTCTCTACATCTGCTTCTGGTGTGACCATGAAAGCTCTACTAGGCCAGACATGACCAGAGGTAGCCATTATAGTATAGACCTGCCCCCCCCCTTCCTGAAGGCAGGAAGAATAAAAGTACACAGGTTTTGCAGAGCTGTAGTCCACAACTTGAAAGCTGAGTTCCCATCTTACAGTGTTTACTGTGAAAGCCAGGTTGACTGCAGTGAGTTTGAGGCCAGCCTGGTCTCCACAGTGAATTCCAGGCCAGCCGGGGTTGGGGGTGGGAATAGTAAGACCTTGTCTGCAAAAGATAAAGAAAAGAACCAAACCTGGAGCTGCCTCCCAAGACCCTGTTCATTTAGTTCTGTTTAGCTAATCTACTTGCCTATCAAACAGATCAATATTCCCTGGAGAATAAGGCAGAAACTGCCCTTCCTCCTTACCGCTTACATTCATTCATTCACACGCCACAACCTCAGATTCCACGACACATAAGGAACTAAGAAAATGGGATCAGTTTTGAAAAGAATAGGCAATTATATGGCATTTCTTCCAAGATGGGTCAGATTTGGACTTTCACTGATGGAGAGCAGTCTCTGTTGAAATCAATATTTCCTGAGTGGCCTTAGAGCATGTGGAGGTGACCAGGACAAGTACCAGGAACCCTTACGATAGAGCCGTGACAATTTTCTGGAGCACAGGGAAAAAAAAAAACGATTTAAATGCCTGAACAGTGAAAAAAGAGCCAAGGCTCCGGTAACTGTGCTACAAAATTTAGCATAACTACTATACATGGAATTGGAGTCACGGCAGAAATAGAATCATGCGGAAAGTACGTTTGGAAAATAATGACATATTTTCACATATTATGAAATACTTAAATCCGTGTCCTAGCATAAGTGGGATGATTCTAAGGAAATTGCGCCTCTGCCCTTCTCATTTAAACATCGGACAGTGACGGGTAAGAGGGGCCTTCATAGGAACCGCAGTATGTTCAGGGAAATGTTGATTCAAGTGAGCACTTCCTCCTTTTCAGAATAGACAAAGGGTAGAAAAAAATGATGGTTTAATGGTTTTTATTGGCATGTATCTATTTGTGGTACGGGGTGGGTAAAGATGATTTGTGTATATATGGTACACATGGGAAGCCAGAGGACAGGTAGTAGGAGATGGCCCTTTCTTCAACCACATCGGTCCTGGGACTTGAACTCAGATAGTCCGGCATAGCTGTAAGAGCCTTTTCCTACTGGCTATCTCACCAGCCTAAGAAAAATGTTTTTAAAGTAAAGAGGGGATAGAAAGACAGTAAGAACGTATACCAAAGAACCGTGTTATTTGCATAGCTAAACTGTGCTTTCAGCATGGAGACAAAGGCATTTTTAGATACAGAAAAGCACAGAGGCTTTGTTTCTGAAAGACTCAAGAGATGTCAAAGAAAGCTGGAGCCTGGAGCGAGGCGCACCAGAGAGGACCTGAAATGCTCAAGATGAAATAAATATATTGGAATCGCCAATACAAATGGCTCATTTCCCGTCTTACAATCTCTACAATATATAGAACAAGAATGACAGCATTGTCCCGTGGGGATCATGATGTAATGTGTATCTGTAGTCCACGTGACAGTCATAGCATCGAAAGTGCAGTTGATAAGCAGACTTATGTAGGTGCAACATTTTCAGATTTTATGTGAAAGTAAGCCAAATAATGATCAAGAATATTTATTTTAGTCCCCAGAACAAGCAATACAATATGTGGTCAATTGATAAACTATAATCTCACATTTTCTTTTTAAAGGCGAGGTCTCACTGTGTAGCTCTAGCTGACCTGAAACGTAAAGTGTACACCAGGCTGGCATCGAACTCACAGAGAAACTCTTGCCTTGCTTTTTAAAACCAATGCAATAATATTGGAAAAGAG